CAAAAAAACGCTGAAAAAAGTCGTTTCTATTTTTGCAGCAATCAAGCTCAAATACAATGAGTAGAACAACAACAAAATAACCGAATGAATAATATTACGATGACCACATCATATATACATATCCAAAACAAAAAAAAGAACGGAAGCACAGTGATGTCAATGAATTACTGAACAATTGCTTAAGCACTGATACAGAGCATCATCAGTTGCGATTATTAGTGCACACGGCCTTACGATTAACTGAAGACTGAACACTGGATGAGTTTCGAGCCGAATTCTAATTTCGATCACTTCGATTATTTTTCACATATTCACAGATTAATATTTCTATAAGAAAACTTTCATTTTTCTGAACGTACACTTCACTGAGAGAGCACATTCCTTTCATAATTATTCACAACATTCACTTCAGTCTACCAAAACTGCGAGTACACAATTGCTGCTACCAATGCACGGTGATCACTTGACACAGGCTTAAGTTTCAACACTCAACAGAATACACATATCAATATCACTTAACAATAACTGATTAATATTTATAATGGGTATATTCACAGATTAGTTTCATCATTACCGAAGAACGATCAGTAAAGTTTGGGTAATCACAGCGAGACGAAGAGAAATAAAGCGAAAACGATGTCAACAATGAAAAAACAAGAAGACGGAAACAATTCACGCACAATTATTGAATAATAAATAACCATATCAATCAATCCGCAACGTTTATGAGACCAATTTCATTCATTCAGCAAACAAAAACGCGAAATAATGACAACGTCAATCTAAAAACAAAAACGATCGCAATCGACCATTATAACGTAGTCACAAACAGTGATAATCCTCGTCAAATTAACAGCAAAAACAATACTAATCAACTTCGAAGAGTTTTGAAAATGGTATCATCATTATTATTATCAACAATACATGATAACAGTCAATGAAAGCAACTCGACTTGAAAAAAATGCTTTCGTCAAGACATTTTCGATCGGCACAACAGACGACTGACTGAATAATTACTATTCAGCGAACTGCAGATGCAATAATACAAACTCATTAATGCATTCGCATATAGCGTTGTCTTAGATAATAATTATACGGCGTTGAGTCGTTCTTTTTCCACTCAGAATACAACAATTTCACCAGGAACAGATGAAATACCAACACCAATAGACCGAGCATCACCCAGAATATCACTGGTAATCCACCCAATCGATGACCGTGTTTATGCAATGCTATCAGCTCTTGCTCATGCGCGGGTGCTTCCAGTACCTGAACTTCATTCATATGATTTTTATGCAAGTACGCATTAGAATAGCAGTTCAATTCGGGAACAACTTAAATTGCATCGAATTCAACAAACCGTTACAACGAATCAAACCGAAACAACAACACACCTCAATAACGTGAATCGTTCCTCGCATTTGCTCCAGATGGTGTCTACTCTTCGACAAATACAAAATTGGAGTCGATGGCCGTGTGATTTTCACCGGTATGCGTACCCAAGTGCTTTCCAGCGCCAGTGGCCTATTCAGACATGCTGCGTCACAGACGAACATCTGAACGATTATCAATCACCACAACGTCAGCTAGCTGATTCGTCTCACTCCCCAACTCTCAGTGTCTAATTGAACCATTCCATCATACACACACTGATCTCAAATCAATCAGAAGACTGATCGAACAATTGAAAAAAAAAAGATACTTTGGATGTTGAGGATAGTGAAAAGAATGGTCGGTTCTCTTCATCCAAGCGAACCGCTATCGACAGTTTTGTGTCGCTCGAGAACGACAAATTCTCGATGGTCATCTCGCGGTGCAGATCAGTCGGGTCCATGTCCACCTCGAGATGTTCACCAGAAAATCTTAAGTTCATCGTTTCACTCACCCATACATCATTTCCATCTTACTTGCAAAATCACTTTCCAAAAATGAAATTTCAAAATCTCTCATGAAAACAATGCGAAAATGAGCGAACACATTTACTACAACCAAAAAAAGTTACTGACTTCGACGCAAATAGACTAAGAGCAAATGCCTCGGCCACTCCAGATGCACCAGCTTTCAAAAGACTCGCACAACCACGTTTCTCCAACGTCAACAACCATATATCTACAGTGTCGATTAGTCCGCGAACTGATTTTGGCACCTTCCATAGTCGAGAGGGTACTAGCAGCGTAGAATGACCCGTATAACACATATTCTTTCGTTGTGCTAACGCAATCATCTCCTAAAATTTACAACTGAAACCGATAAATTACAATTGATATGAGACACATTCTTTCAATTTCCCTGAGAACATTCATCTTCTTCGTTCAAAAACCTATATCTAGAAATAATTTCATTTCTGCAATAACTTTCTTCAAAATCACCGAAATCAAATACTGAATCAAACCAACAGTGCAACAAAACCGAAGCTTACTTACCCTCTTATACTGTTCTGAGATTCCGTGTTCCAGCAGTGGCGCACGACTGTTCGAAAGTAACGCATATCGAGTTGCGTTTATTGAAATTGGATTCAACGCGTCCGGAGCCAATGATTTTGAAATACCGAATGAAATGGAATTCAACTGAAACATTACTTGTTTCTGTTATGCGCATTACGAAGACAATATTTGATTAGAAGATGATTTGTGAATGAAACATTTTGTTGAGAGCACTAAATAGTTATGCAAAAGCTGATCTATCAATTTTCTTCTATCAATAATTCGATTCATAATGCCATTAGTAGGAAACAATGATCAGCAAACAATTAGTTAATCCCTTCTCAATAATACACCTTGTCTACTCTGATTATTTTATTTGAACGATCGAAATGTTGAATCTTATTGAAACTATTTCTATCAATACAAAAACCCATCTGAAAATCTGTTCAGCTGAACGTAGCTTACGTTTGATCACTGAATCAATGAATAGTTTTAGAACAAAAAAGTTTAAATGCTGGATAAAATGTTAACAAAATGAGCGAGCGCCTCATACCGTGTGCCAAGCACTTGTATGTTCTTCATCCAGTTCGGCAGCTTTCACATGCATTGTATCGGCAAACTCCTTCAATCAACAAATATCAGTGAATTACACA